AGGCCGCGCGCGAAAATTGAACCCCGCCCCCCCCGCCTGTCGTAAACCTCCTGTCCACTCTTGACGGGGCGGCGCGGCGCGACCGGGCTCGCGCGAAAATTGAACCCCGCCCCCCCGTCTGTGGTAAACCTCCTGTCCTCTTGAGTTGCACGAGATTAAGATAGGACGACGTAGAGATAGAGCGCCGCGACGAGCGCGGGCACGGCGACGAACGCCGCGGCGCGGAGCGGGGAGGCCGCGTCGCGAGTCCGCCTGGCCGATGACGGGCTCGAAGCGCTCGTCCGCCGCTTCGTCTCCGCGGCGGCGGCCGCGGCGGGCTCCGGCGCCGCGGCGCGGGTCCGTCGCTTCGACGGCGCGGCGCCGCGCTGGGCCGGCGGTCGCCTGACGTCCGAGGGCGCGTTCGTCGCGTCCGCCGCGCTCGCGCCGTCGGACCGCCGCCGCCGCGCGCGGCCGGGCGGCGCCTCCCGGACCGCCGTCGGAGCCCCGCCGTCGGAGCGCCGCTTCCGCGGGCGGAGGGCGGGCAACGGCGGCGGCTTGAGCCCGCGCTCGAAGGCCGCGCGGCGGGAGCCAAAGGTCCGGGGCGACAGGCCGTCGTCGACGCTCCGCGCCGCGGGCCGCGGCTCCGGCGCCGCGTCGCCGCCGCCGCCGTCGAAGAGCGCCCGCCGCGGGTTGTTCTCCTCGAAGCTCCGGAATTTCCGGAGCGTGCCGCGGCGCACCGCGCGGAACTTGAAGGGCGTCGTCGTCTCGAGGGCCGTCCGCGCGGCCGCGGCGTCGTCGCGCGCGTCGCGCGCGAGCGCCGCGACGACGGCCGCCGTCGCGTCGGCGCCCGCGCGCCGCGGCGCCCGGCGGCGCCGGAGCGCGCGGTCCCGCGCGGCGGCCGCGACGGCCGCGGCGCCCTCGGCGGCCGCGGCCGCGCGCCGCGCGGCGGCCGCGGCGTTGTTCAGCGCGTCCGTGCGCCAGTCCGCGCCGCGCGCGCCGCGCGCCGCGGCCGCGAGGCGCACGCTCCGCGCCGCGACGTCGAGCGCCGCGCGCGCCTCCCGCGCGAAGGACGCCGCGTGGTCCCGGAGCCGCGTGCCCTCCTCGTCGTCCTTGGACGACGACGACGACGTCGCCCGCGGCCGCGCGTCCGGGGTCGTCGCCGCGGTCGGAGCCGGCGCGTCGTCGCCCGGCGCCGCCCGCGCCGGGACGCGAGCCGGCGCGGCGGCGCCCGGGTTTGCCCGCGCCGCGTCGTCGTCCGGCGCCGCCCGCGCCGCGACGATGCTCGGCGCCGCCCGCGCCGGTGCCGCGCCGCCCCAGGCCAGCGCGCGCGCCTCGGCGGACGCCGCCTTGCGCGCTCCGCCGTCTACGCGAAGCTCGACGGTCCTCGCGGCGGCCGGCGCCTTCGGCGCCGCCTCGAGGCGCGTCGGGCTGCTCCAGGCCCGCGCGCGCGCCGCGGCCGAGCCGTCTGCCGCCTCCGGCGCCGCGCCGTCGTCGCGCGTCAGGACGATCGTGCGCTCGCCGCTTTTCCGCGGCGTCCGGACCACCTCGACGACGAGCTCCTCGGCGTCGGACTCGGACTCGGGCTCGTCGAGGTCGTGCGAGTGCCGCGCGCCCGACGGCGGCGGGTCCCGAGCGCCCGGCGGCGGCGGGTCCCGAGCGCCCGGCGGCGGGTCCCGCTGGCCCAGGATGGGGCCCAGGATGGTGTCGATCATATTATGGGCAGCCATTGGTGATTCCTGCAACGATGCAGGCTCCTTTGCCATCGCCGATGTTGACGCTCGACCTTGTGGCAGCAGCCTCTACCGACGATGCTGCAGTACCTCCGCCGCGCCCTGCGCGCCGCGCCGCCGCCCGCCGCGATCAACAACGCCCTG